AAATTAATTAAAAGATCCTCCAATAATATTTAATTTGCACCTTAGAATTCACCACCAAAATATTTGAGATTGTAATATTATTATTTAATTATTTACTTAATTTTTATATTCGGGTTCTCACAGGCCAAGGTTGATAACCTCGGCCAGCCTTTGTTTGAATCTGACCTTGGCGACAAGGTCGAAAGCCCCATGCTTAATGAGAACCCAAGTGGGACTTAGGTTCACATTAGGGGGCAGAGGGCTGGAGAATGATACTTGGGAGTTGGAATTTACAAGCAAAAAAAGATGGTTTAACACTTGTTGAAATTTTGAGAAAAATTTACAAGTTGAAGTTAAGCCGAGGTTATGTTAAAAGAAGATGGTTTAACACTTGTTGAAATTTTGAGAAAAATTTACAAGTTGAAGTTAAGCCGATGTTATGTTAAAAGTAGATGGTCTAACATTTGTTGAAATTTTAAGAAAAATTTACAAATTGAAGTTGACCCAAGATTATGTTGCAACAATAGAAGACAGAGGACTTGAGTAAAGTGGCAAGTTGTGAGTAACACTTGTGAAAATACTATGATAAATATTTTCAAGTGTTAGGTCAAAGCCAAGGCAATCTATTAGTGGGTACAACCGAAGTATTCCACACCAAGGAGATTACACAGTCAAGGTGTATGATTGAAGACATACAAATTATTCAAAGTATAAGAGTCATACAAGAACAAAAAGAAGACAAACATGCAAGCATTCGAAAGAAGAAGTTATATTCACATTCAAAAGAAAGGGCATATCGGCCTACAAAAAGATTACTTGTGCGAAATACAAAAGCGGCACCTTGGCCAAATTAAAGATTACATTTGTTCCAAAAGTGAAAGAAAGTACAAGGTACAGAAAAAAGAGAAAAATATCAAACTAGACTATTCGGCGTCTTTGGCTGGTTGGGTCTGAGGTTTAGAAGACAGTTGGGAAGACATATCAACGGCCTTCTCAGCCGCAAGCTCAGCATCAATCTCTTGAAGAGTCTGGTCGATGCTTTGCTCGGCGATAAGCGCGTCCGATGTTGTCTTCTCAGGAGTGGTATCTTTGGAGACCTCACCCTCCTAATCCTAAGACAAGTCCACGACTTGCTCATTCAGAGTAGGGGACTTGGCCCCAACAGCTTCCTTCTTCTTTCTGACCAAAGCTTCCTCATCGGACTCAAAATCGTCTTTGGATTGGCTTGGAGTAGGAGGGAATAGCAGGGAGAGGTCACCGGCATTCTTGAGGGGGGAGTCCTTGGGGACATCCAGCTTTTTAAGGGTAGCCATCCAACCAAGGGTGAAACCCTTGTTGCATGCCTGTTTCACTTGTCTTTTGTAGTCCTTCTTGACGTCGGCTGCCCCCTCAGCGTACGCCTTCTCATCAGCGGCCTTGATTTCGGCCTCTTTTGTGGCCAGGGCATCTTGAAGTTCTTTCTGGGCCTCAACCATCTTTCCCTCGGCCTCTTTCTTTTCAGCAGCAAGGATCTTGGCGATGGCCTCCGCGGCGTCAGCCTTTTCCTCGGTCTCATCTTGAGCCTTTTTGGCTACCTCGGCCTGGTCTGACAAAGTCTTCAGTTTGCCCTTAGCCTTGTTAAGGGCCTTCCGCAAACCAGCAGCCTCCTTGGTCTTATCCGCCAACTTCTTCTTGAGGTTAAAGGCTTGCATTGCGAAAGAGTGGCCATGCTGGATTGCCTAGCAGAAATAGACAAGAACAAAAGTTAGCAAAATTTTCTAAGGAAAATAGAGAAAGTAAAAAGTATCAAGCATTAGGGGCTTACTTGTACGGAATGTTGCAACATTAGAGCAAAATTTTCGTATTCGCTCATCACGGCGTTACGATTAAGATCATTGGGAAGGAGCAAGGTGGTAGAGAGGGCAACCCCGACATCAGTGTCGTCGGCGCTGTCGTTAGCCTTGACCAGCTTTGTCCTCGATTGTGATTACAGGAGCCTAGGGGGCATCTGACTTCAGGGATCCTGAGGTTGTTGCGAATTCAGACCTCGGCCTCTTCGACCGAGTTGGTTGGGACTCGGCGGGCCTCTTCTCTACAGTAGAAGTGGTTTTCTCGCTCTCGGCCAACTTTGAAATTGGCAAGGTGTCCTCAATGTCAATCTAAGTCACCGTTGCCTTAATCTGGGCTTTCTTCAGTCTTTGGGGTTTTGGCCTTGGTTGTACTGGTTGAGCATTGACAGTATCGGGGATGTCGACCAAAAGATCGTCTGCAACTGCTTTCTTGTGGCCCATCTCTGCAGTGATTACAGTTCGGCATCTGCGTCGGCGTTGAGATGGAGGGATCAGATATGGAGCTGAGATTGATGGTTGCTCAGCTAGATTGAAAGTTGATCCCTGATCTGGCCGAGATGATGAAGTTGCTGGAGGAGTTGTGGCGGAGGGAGGAAACTTGCTCTTCATCTTTGGGATATCAGGAAGGACCGACTTATATGTTGGATGTAGTTGAGCAGTAGAGGGACTCTTCGCTTGTGAACTAGCAGATCCAACAACTTTTTCAAGCCTTTGCTCGGGAAGAAAGATTTGCAGAAGTCTTTTGCAAGTTGGGGAAGAGCTGCAATAAAAACAGACGTTAGAACGTATAAAAAGAACAAAGTATTGAAGACTTTGAAAACAAGTAAGTATAAACACTTGGCTCTTACCATTACCATCTACGAAAACTATTCGGCTAAGAGGGTAGAGGTGGAGGTCCTCATCTGGAGCGAACTCCTAGTTTCCCGAGACAATGAAGTAATCGTCCCTGACTCCCTTGTTGGTGTCTTAGTCTTTTTCTAACCTAAGGCCACACATGGTGTAGCAGTATTGGATGTCAGCTAAAGTTACCCTAGCATTATCTTTTTTGGCTAAGGCTATTATACCATTGATAACTCGGTAGGAGTTGATGGTGAGCTACATTAGGTTCAATTTGTAGTAATGGAGGATTTCTCGGAAAAGGATGTCAAGTGGGAATCGAAGTCCACACTTTATGAAAGCAATAACTGGGAAAGACATGAAGTCAACTGTGGGCATGATGGAGTCATCCTCCCCAGCCAACCTCAGGTGGATGTCGGCAGTGATAGAAAACTCCTGCCTGAAATATTCTAACTTAGTTGGGGTGTCTACCTTATGCCTCCACATACCCATGACGTCGACTTAGGGGGAAGGTGTATGATTTGGAAAAAAAAAAAAGTGTTCTGTGAAGGTCTAGAAAACCTCGGCAAAACCTAAACGAATGTTAGGGTAAAGATTTTTTAGGATCTAAAGTGAGGCTTGTTTTAGTTTTTCCTAAAGTTTGTGAGTTCTACGACAAATCCCAAACCTAAGTCTATGTAAACAAAGGATTGAAGGCACGAATTTAGAGAAAACACAGAAAGAAGAAACAGAAACAAAGATTCAGAATCAAGAATGATGATGCTCTATCAAGAACACTGTGACAGAGTGTGTGCAAGGGTGCAAGGCCAAGAACAGTGGCAAAATAAGCAAAGTGTGTGGATACATGTGTATACCCAGAAACATGCGAAACAGAGTATGTTTTTAGCATACAAGGGGTGAAATTTGAAGCACAGACAGGAATGAGAGCATATGAATATATTCAAACATGATTAATAAACAGAGGCAATAGAATGTGAAACAAGAAAACGAAGGAAGGAACGGTGACTTACCAAAGAAAATGAGGTCGGTGTAAAATACGCCGGTGTCGGACGGTGGCAAGGAGCAAAGAAGTGCAGCAAAAGCCTCGCCGGAAGGGAAGAGTGAAGGTGGTTACAAAAAGCTTCACGAGAGCAACAATGACGGACTTGGGAAAGAAAAGTTAGAGAGAGAAAAAGCTAGGAGCTTGGGAATGAGGATGCAAAAGTGAAAAGACGGAGAAAGAGAGAAGCGGTTTTGATCAAACGCGGAGAATGGCGGTAAAATACCATCAATGCGCTTAGGGCGACGTGCTTGTTAGACGGCGCACGTAGACGCAAGACAACTTAAAGGCGCGTATCAAGTACAATCCAGTAAGGAGAAGATGCGTGGCTAAAACGGTTGGGTTGCTGTGCGTGACAGTTCACCCGTATGACGAATCTCTTGAAGTGCTTGGTTTAATGAAGCAAAAACATCGGCTATGAGGATGATCTCAGCTAAATAATTTGATCAGATTTGGTTATTTGTCCTAAGACATTGATGAAAGCAAATCATAGGTCTTGGTCACATAAGAGCAACGGGTGGTGACCTCGGGAATGAAAGGTAAGGCGAGCTTAGCCGATGTGCTAAATGGAAGAAATGATATAGGTTCCATCACCTCAGGATGCCGAGGTAATAGAACCTAGGGGGTAGTTGTGGAGACATAACTTTTGAATGACGGCACGTGGCCGAGGTGACACCGAAGTGTCAGCCGATGTGCTACGTGTCCTGGTTATGACACCGAGGTAATCTCGGCTAGGCCGAGGTTATCTGCGAGAATACCAGAATCCGGGATAAGCGGATAAGGGATAAAGGACAAGAGTCCTAGATTGGTAGAGGGCTTCAATTTGGATAAAGATGAGACTCTTAGAGAGTTTATCCTAATCCTGCTGGGAGTCCGAGATTAGCAGTAATCCAGAGTCCATTGGAACTAGGCTTCTATTGGGACTAGGTTTGTGTTGGCTATAAAAGGGAGGCACCCTCATGGGTCTAAGGTACGCTTTGTATATTCTGAATAGTGAGTTAAGCACTTTTACTATCTTTGAGAGATAACTGACTTGATCGTCGGAGTGCCCCGGGTGGACGAACCACCGCCGGAATCTCTTCTTTCTGTGACAGGTCGTTCGGGCTTAATCTATTCTACCGGTGCTCTCCAGCTAAGTACTAATTTGGCAGTGCGGTCAGAAATCAACTCACACAGATTCTCATCCTGATGTTTTATAGTCATTATATTCTCCCATTCTGCCATCAAGTTCTTTGGAAGGGTTGAGATAGTGATATATTATTGAACCTATATTCTCAATTTTTGTGATACAATTTTAGCTTTCTGAGTGTCTTTTATTTTTTTCCCAAGTGTTCGATCTTTTTTTTCACTTGGTCATTGCAATGAGTCCATCTAGTTGATCACATCAATTATTAAAAAATTTGCTATGAATTCGCCTATCTAATTAGTTATTTGTATGTTCTCGCTCTAGAAGTCGTTAGCTAAGATTATCAACTCTTAGCTTGGAAAAGAATCTTATACATAAGCCCAAAATAAGGACGCAGTGGAGGGGACAGATTTGGAGGCATTTGATTTGCACCCACTCTCTACGTCAAATTTTATTTAATTGTTTTGCAATTCTTCTACCTGTTGTTTTTCTTTTTTTGCTCCCTTCTTGTTTTCCTTTTCCCTTTTTGTTTTCTATTTCTCATTTCTTGCTTTAGATTTTTGATTCAACTATTTTGACAATGAAGAACTCTTTAAGAAGTTTTTGGAGAAGTAGTCTTAGTAGTATTTGTAATTACATTGTTATTAAGTTGACTTTTAGATGAGAATGGACAAGAACTGACCATGGATGGATGAGCCAAACATTCAATATGGTTTGGGGTGAGGAATGTAATGAGGCTTTATACGTAATAAGATTACGCTATGTAAATGGCATAAAGTATTGCCTCTGAAAAGAAATAAATAGAATAGTCTACGTGCTCTTGATAGTGATTGGCCTTCTTTTGTTCATACCCTTTCTTTTGTTCACACCATTTCTTCTGTTTGACGTCAATTGCATGCGATGGTACAACAACACAGCTGGATTTCAACCCTTATTTCAATTATTTTGAAGTAAATTTTTTTCTTTTTCTTAATCTTTTGTGGTTTATGGCTGATAAGCTTAAGAGTTTCGTGCATAAACTATGAACCAGAATTTGACGAATATAACTGATTTGAGTGTTGATGTACTGTCTTTTTGTAGTTTATGAATTTCATAATTTTATAATTTTTTCTTCAGAAACTATGAAGCAGAAGCGGAAGCGGAAGCGGACAAATATAACTAATCTGAATGTTGATGTACTGAAATGTATCATGAGTTTTGTAGCTAAATCTTTGAATGGGGCTGGCAGTTTTGCAAGGGCAATATCGGTGTAAGTTTACTTCTAAGAGTGCTCACTTTGTTCATTTTTTTTTCCTGCTGGCAAACCACCCTCATATTTGTTGCAATTAATTTTTTCTCCTCTCTTCCCACTCATATTTTATCACTGTCAAACACGCATAGTTCTCTAAATTGTTTGGTTATGGTGAACGAAGATGCGTTAGAGACCAGCACATATCGAAATTGTTTATATATATATATATATATATATCAGAATACTCCAAAATTATTAGAGAAAATCATATGAAAAGCATTACATTTGGAAAAAAAATTTGATCACAATGGGTTTGTATGCTTTTCGTGTTTGTTCATGCGTTTATCAAATTACGCATACCATTTGTTTGATAATATGCTTGACTAAAAATCAATGTACATGGAAATCACATAATGTTTTCCTTGACTGGTATATCTCGAAAGATCATGACAAACAATATGCATTAATTTTCTTTTCTTGGTTCCAAATTTGATAGAGACCTCATAGGGTCTGGTGTCATTGGCCTTGATTTGTGATTTGGGGTCATTTAACTTAGGGCTAGCCCAACCTAACCTTGTAATTGCAAAGCAGACTTTTAAGTATTAGTAAGAAAATGCCTTCTAATAGAGACATCATAGTTTATGTGAAGGAAAACCTGGGATGAAAATAAGTGAGGTAAAAGATTGTTTAAAGAAAACAAAAATGAAAGTTAAATAGTCGATATGTTGGAATTTTTGCTTCAAGTGATGTATCTTGGCCCCATGTTTGAACCAAACATTGACACGGTCATGTAGCTTAGGTAATACTGAGAGGCTATTGAACCCAACATCGTAAGCTCTACGCTGTCTTCATTCATCTTTACACGTCCACTGACAGATCCTCAAATGTGTTTTGCACCAGGCTGCCAAATAAAATGGTTACAAAAAGTAGCACTAGATTGAATGTATTGATGCTCTGTAGCAAAATTTATCCCTTGGATTTTAAAGTTACTCACTCTTGACCACTGATGGCACTAATTGTACACAAGTGACGTGAGTTTTATGTAAAGAATTAGCAAATAGATTCCAAGGGTTTATTGCCTAGCTTGGTTTGCTACTCTTAATGGCTTTATGTCCAGCTGGTGTATGTCTGAAATTTGTTTGAATGGAATGAGTAAGCATTGTATAACCCTTTTTTCTTTTTTTGACTTTATGTCCGGTAACTTGCTCTCTGTTGTTATTTCATAATTGGATAGGAAACCAATTATGCAGTTCTTTTTTCTTTTATTTATTTATTTTTAGTTTCAAATTAGTTGGATTATGAATCGATTGAGTTAAGTTGAGTTCTTGTTTGCCAGAAGCTGAATTCAAAAAATTACACTCTATTTAGAGTGATTTGTTATGTTTGGTTTATAAGTTTGGATTTGTTGATTCTCTATATATTTGGTCTCATGACTTTAAAATATTTGGCCACACATTGAAGATTTTCATTTTAGATTTATTGATTATATGTATGTCATATTTATATATGGCAATACAAACATTTTATACTAGTAACAATCAAAGTCATTATTTATTTTCTATTGATGCAGGGGATGAAGAGTCAGTGTGATGAGAAAATGTCTGATTTTGTCTTTTGTAAGATAAGAACAGTCTCTACAAAAATAGTATGTTTATTCATATACTTCTGGCGATTTTTGAATTAATTTGTGTTTTTATTTTTCAGGTCAGAAATTTCCTGGAGAGATGCAAAATATGGTCAAAGAATTCAAGAACTTAGTTTTTTTAATAAGATTACGCTATGTAAATGGCATAAAGTATTGCCTCTGAAAAGAAATAAATAGAATAGTCTACGTGCTCTTGATAGTGATTGGCCTTCTTTTGTTCATACCCTTTCTTTTGTTCACACCATTTCTTCTGTTTGACGTCAATTGCATGCGATGGTACAACAACACAGCTGGATTTCAACCCTTATTTCAATTATTTTGAAGTAAATTTTTTTCTTTTTCTTAATCTTTTGTGGTTTATGGCTGATAAGCTTAAGAGTTTCGTGCATAAACTATGAACCAGAATTTGACGAATATAACTGATTTGAGTGTTGATGTACTGTCTTTTTGTAGTTTATGAATTTCATAATTTTATAATTTTTTCTTCAGAAACTATGAAGCAGAAGCGGAAGCGGAAGCGGACAAATATAACTAATCTGAATGTTGATGTACTGAAATGTATCATGAGTTTTGTAGCTAAATCTTTGAATGGGGCTGGCAGTTTTGCAAGGGCAATATCGGTGTAAGTTTACTTCTAAGAGTGCTCACTTTGTTCATTTTTTTTTCCTGCTGGCAAACCACCCTCATATTTGTTGCAATTAATTTTTTCTCCTCTCTTCCCACTCATATTTTATCACTGTCAAACACGCATAGTTCTCTAAATTGTTTGGTTATGGTGAACGAAGATGCGTTAGAGACCAGCACATATCGAAAGTGTTTATATATATATATATATATATCAGAATACTCTAAAATTATTAGAGAAAATCATATGAAAAACGTTACATTTGGAAAAAAAATTGGATCACTGTGGGCTTGTATGCTTTTCGTGTTTGTTCGTGCGTTTATCAAATTACGCATACCATTTGTTTGATAATATGCTTGACTAAAAATCAATGTACATGGAAATCACATAATGTTTTCCTTGACTGGTATATCTCGAAAGATCATGACAAACAATATGCATTAATTTTCTTTTCTTGGTTCCAAATTTGATAGAGACCTCATAGGGTCTGGTGTCATTGGCCTTGATTTGTGATTTGGGGTCATTTAACTTAGGACTAGCCCAACCTAACCTTGTAATTGCAAAGCAGACTTTTAAGTATTAGTAAGAAAATGCCTTCTAATAGAGACATCATAGTGTATGTGTAGGAAAACCTGGGATCAAAATAAGTGAGGTAAAAGATTGTTTAAAGAAAATAAAATGAAAGTTAAATAGTCGATATGTTGGAATTTTTACTTCAAGTGATGTATCTTGGCCCCATGTTTGAACCAAACATTGACACGGTCATGTAGCTTAGGTAATACTGAGAGGCTATTGAACCCAACATCGTAAGCTCTACGCTGTCTTCATTCATCTTTACACGTCCACTGACAGATCCTCAAATGTGTTTTGCACCAGGCTGCCAAATAAAATGGGTACAAAAAGTAGCACTAGATTGAATGTATTGATGCTCTGTAGCAAAATTTATCCCTTGGATTTTAAAGTTACTCACTCTTGACCACTGATGGCACTAATTGTACACAAGTGACGTGAGTTTTATGTAAAGAATTAGCAAATAGATTCCAAGGGTTTATTGCCTAGCTTGGTTTGCTACTCTTAATGGCTTTATGTCCAGCTGGTGTATGTCTGAAATTTGTTTTTGAATGGGATGAGTAAGCATTGTATAACTCTTTTTTCTTTTGTTGACTTCATGTCCAGTAACTTGCTCTCTGTTGTTATTTCATAATTGGATAGGAAACCAATTATGCAGTTCTTTTTTCTTTTATTTATTTATTTTTAGTTTCAAATTAGTTGGATTATGAATCGATTGAGTTAAGTTGAGTTCTTGTTTGCCAGAAGCTGAATTCAAAAAATTACACTCTATTTAGAGTGATTTGTTATGTTTGGTTTATAAGTTTGGATTTGTTGATTCTCTATATATTTGGTCTCATGACTTTAAAATATTTGGCCACACATTGAAGATTTTCATTTTAGATTTATTGATTATATGTATGTCATATTTATATATGGCAATACAAACATTTTATACTAGTAACAATCAAAGTCATTATTTATTTTCTATTGATGCAGGGGATGAAGAGTCAGTGTGATGAGAAAATGTCTGATTTTGTCTTTTGTAAGATAAGAACAGTCTCTACAAAAATAGTATGTTTATTCATATACTTCTGGCGATTTTTGAATTAATTTGTGTTTTTATTTTTCAAGTCAGAAATTTCCTGGAGAGATGCAAAATATGGTCAAAGAATTCAAGAACTTAGTTTTTTAAAGTTTTTTTTTCTTCATATTTTAATATATGTAATCACAGTTAAAAACTTTTTATTAATTCCTTTGTATATACTTTTGAACATTTAACTTTCATTTATGAAATATATGACATTATTCCATTCAATATATGGTTGTGATTCAAAATATAGTATATAGCGTGTATATTCCATTCAATATATGGTTGTGATCCAAAATATAGTATATAGTATGTATTACATTCTTCAAATGCTCGTACAAAAATAATATTGATTATTATTTAAATATGCTGAATTCTTTTTTTTATCACACATTTTATTAGTTATTAATCACACTTAAAAGATGTGATCTAAATATTTTTAATCACACTTAAAAGATGTGATCTAAATGTTATTAATCACACCTAAAAGATGTGTTCTAAATATTTTTAATCACACTTAAAAGATGTGATTTAAATATTATTAATCACACTTGAAAGATGTGATAAAATCATTTTTTAATGACACTTAAAAAGTGTGATTAAAAATGATCCATTTTAATTACACTCCCAAAGATCACACTTTAATAAAACTTAAAAGGTGTGATTAAAAAACATACATCACACAAAAAAAGTGTGATGTTTATCTGTATTTGTAGTAGTGTCTCTCTCTCTCTCTCTTCATCTCTCATTTAGCCTCGCCGTCTTCTCCTCTCGTTTCTCTCCTTATCATCGTAGCCATCGCGGCCTTCCTTCTTCTTTTTGCAGACCACTTCTGCCAGTCACCGATCTCCTCCGCCACCCTCTTCGTCATTGATCTCTTCTGCCGTTACTGATCCACTCCATCATCAGCTCAGTTCTCATTTGTCTGCTACAACCAAACCACCACTATCGTCCCGTCGTCGCCTCCTACTCTGCCCCTTCTTTCCTCACCTTCTCCGTCTCTCTCATCATCTTTTCTCCCTCTCTTATATGTTCTCTCTCTTTCATCTGCTGTCCCTCAAGCTTATGTCAAGATTTGGCCTGAAAGTTGAGATTAGGTCGAAATCCACTCAAAACCTCTATCTTTGTTCTTAATCCACTCAAGTATGTACGTGTATTTCATATATATATATATGTATCATACAATTTCTATATTGTAGCACTAATTTAGGACATTTACCCTTCCCCTTATATCTCTAGCTCTATTGTTAGGCTTTACACCATATTCCCTTACACTGTTAGGTATTGGTGGATGTGGTGTTGATGGCTTCAAAAAGAAGAGTGATGAAAGGAAATATCTTCACATTTGTTCAAAATGGCTCAGATTTGTTCAAAATGATGAATATATTTCACTGATTTGTCACCGTCGTCTGCTTATTTTTTATTTATTTATTTATTTTTTGATGTTGTTGTTGTTGATGATGATAATGAAAGAAGAAGCAAATTACAACAGATAGGATATATATGAGAGAGATTTGAACATACAGGAAAATAATAAAATTTTGAATAGATAGAACATATTTGTTTTAAACAGATTTGTTATAGTTGATTTTCAATAGATAAAATAATAGATCTGTTCAAATCAAGGGGAAAATTGAATAGATAGACAAAAAATTAGACAGGTAGAATTTTATTTAGACAAATATTTAAACAGATATGGGAAATTTGAGTTAAAGAGGTTAAGAAAAGTAAACAGATAAGGTAAAAAATTTCAACAGATAGTCAACGGAAAGCCAAACAGATAAAAAAACGGTCAATGGGTAAAATTGAAAACAAAATGTCTCATAGGACTTCTTATCAAACTATTTCAGAAAACGTGGACCTCTCGCCAACAAAAAATATCCACAGCATCTAATGCCTTAGACACTCTAAATTGGATTTATCATTAATTTTCTCTATATTTTTGACTGGTAAGTAAATAATTTGGGAAATTCTACATACACAATACATTTATCTCTTTATACTCTCTATTTGAGATCTTTTTTTTTAAAATTTTTCCAATGTGTGAAATTATCTTGAAGGGCAAAATACAAAAATTAAATAGATTTGATTATCTTTTTACACTCATTATACTTCAATCCCTATTTCTTTTCTTTCTTTCTCATTTTTTTTTTATTCTCTACTATACATCTACTTTAGTGTTTTGATCATAAAAGAAAGTAATAGGCAAAGAAATGGTGGTGAAGGACCAGTGAGTTTTTTATTTGTTTTTTACATTTTCGTTTTGTTTTTTAATAAAGTTGTTCGAATTTTGTTATAAGTACCAGAACCAAACAAAATCAAATAGCTTGGAATCATACTGCTGAACAAAAAATACATATTCGGTAACCCACTATCGAACAAAAAATACTTGTTCAGTAACCTACTGCAGAACAAAAAGTACATGTCTAGTAACTCACTGCCAAACATTTCTAGTTTCATTTTTCTAATATTTTTATTTTTTTGTTTTGAAGGGTTATGTTTGTATTCATTGCAGTAAGACTAGTAATGCATTTTTGATGGGCTATATACATGAGATTTGTTAGATTTATCTGTTTCCTGGTCATCCACAGTATCTCTGATAGCAAATAATTGAATGTGCGTTTATCACCTGTGTGCTAATAGATGGGAGAAAGCATATCCTACCCGTATTGAACAATTTCATATGCTTGCCAGCCGTGATACAGTAACTACTGAAAGTATCAACATAGATGGATTGTGATAATATCTCAGTGTGTTTTTTTAGATATTTGTATTGACAGATTTGAAGATATTTATATTGGCAGATTTTGTGAATGTTTTTATAGATGTTTTTGTACACTTCATATTTTTATGGATGTTTGATATTTTAAGAAAAGTCAATCTGTAAACGTGCAGCAACAGATGGTTGGACAAATCTAGTTTGTTCGGCAACATGACAACGGGATAATCTAAATTGATTGGCAATGTATAACTGAACAAGCCCATTATAAATTATTATTTTTTTAAATGATATTTTAAGGAAAGTGAATTTGTAAATGTGCAACAATAAATGGCTGAACATATATAATTTGCTTGGTAACATGATACCAGAGTAATTCAAAAGAAATAGGTGTAATGCGAAAAATCTGTAAGGATTTTGAAAAAGGTTTACTTTAGGGTTAGTTTTGGTATTATAAAGGATGTAATGAGAATTTCAATTTGGGTGATTCTACTCGTACCACTACTTTACCTCTTTACACCCTCCATATGAGGTTTTTTCCCCCCCCTCAATTTTATACATGTGTGAAATTACTTTTTAAGGACGAAACATTAAAATTAAATATATTTTGTTATCTCTTTACACCCGTTGGTCTTCAATCGCTACTCCTCTTTTTCCTTTCTTAATTTTTCTTCCCTCTTACACATCTCTTTTCAAAAAGTAATAATCATGGTATTTTGATCATGGTATTTTGGTAGGTTTTTGTTTCGTTTTTCTGGACTGGAGTTCGACTTTTGTTCAGTGGTTCGAAATCGAACAAAATAAAATAGTCCGGCATTACATTGTCGAACAAAAAAATAAGTCTGGTAACCAACTATCGAATAAAAGATACATTTCCGATAACCCCAAATCGAATTTTTTTAATTTGTTCGGCTTCTCATTACCAAGTATTTTCAGTTTCATTTTTTTATATTTTTTATTTTTTTGCCTGGAAGGATTATACTTATATTTAATGCAATAACGCAAGTACTGCAATATTAGTGAACTCTAGTAATGAATTCATTACAGACGAGGTTTGCTAAATTTTTTTTTTCTGAATATGATTTTTTATTTTTTTTAAATTTGTATTGAGTTTTATTAATAATTTGACGTATAAATGTATTTATTATCTTTAGATTTTTAGTAGTCATGAAGCATTAATCAAATGGGCTTCTGATGTTGGGAAGAAGACTGGATTTGTCATTGTTATAAAGACATCAGATACGGGAGGCAATGACAAAAAACCAAGACTTACACTTGCTTGTACAATAAGTGGTTACTATAGAGACAACATGAAAATTAAGAGGGAACGATTGAGGATGACAAGTTCTAAAAAGTGTGGATGTCTATTTCTATTAAGGGGGAAAAGATTACCTACAAATTACCAAGACGAATTATGATAATATGTTTGATTGATGGATGCAAACAATGATAGATTTTATGGATATTTTATGGATATTCGTACACTTGATATTTTTATGAATAATTTTACAGATACTTTTTATGTATGATTTTATGGATGCGTGTTTGATTTATGAATTTTTTTATGGATGCTTCAAGAAAAAAGTAAATCTTTCAATACAGCGACAGGGGCGTAGACAACTCTATTGCAGTTTTGCAACATGACACTAGAGTAATTCCATTTGTATAACAATGTATCACTAAACATGCACTTCACAAGTGGCCCAAATTAATTTCTTGTTATCATCTAATTGGACGGCAACATAATGTTGGGAAAAAAAATATTGTCCGGTAGCATAGCACTAGAGTAATTCAAATTAATAAGCATTGTATTACCGAACAAGCCCGCCACAAATTAAAAAATCATTGTTTGGAAGAAAATGTCTCTGTAAATGTATAACAACAAAATGTTGGAGAAATCTATTTTTTCTGGCAGCATAACACCAGAATAATGTAAATTGTTTAGTACCATGTTACCAAAATTAGTGGCGGGCCTATGTTACCAAAATAAGGTGGTTGAAAGGATACCAAAAGGTGGTCGAAGATCACAACAGTGACCGTCAACCAACTGAAGAATCACCGAAGGTTGGCTAGAGCTCATTACCCATCTTCAGTAGGTAGTGGTGGTTGGTGGGCGGCGGTGGTGGTAGCAGTAGGTGGTGGGTAAGAAGAGAAAGTGAAAATTTATTTTAAAAACAAGTGAAATATGACATCCCAAAAATCGAGAATATTAGGGGATATAATAATAAAGAAATATAGGGTTCTACTAAGGTTACACATCCAAAAATAAATAACAGTATATCATAGTTTATATATTATAAACAACGTTGCTTTAATTTTATAAATTATAAGTAAAAATAAAATTGCAATAGTGAAATGGAAAATCCAACGTCAGTCCGCGCA